TTGTTGATACTATGCTTCAAATCAGAGATTCCACAGTGAGTCCCTGTGTGGGTACAAGAGCGTGTAAGAGACTCCATACAGACTGCCCGGATGCTATGACAGGGCAGACAACACAGGTACCCCAGAAACTTCCTTCCTCAGGGTCAAGTTAGGCTTCATCCAAGGACTACCTGTGCACATCAGAGAAATTTGGGGTTATGGCCGAAGACGTCTCACGTCTTTTTAAAAACATGATGATTTGTGTGTGCGTGTGTGTGCGTGCGTACGTGTGTGTGCATGCGTACATGTGTGTATGCATGTGTGTGCGTGTGTGCATGTTTGTGTGCGTGTGTGGACACATAGCACTTTGCATATGTATGCAGATGTCAGAAGATAACCCCTAGGTAGAAGTCAGTTCTCTCCTCTCCCATGTGGGTTCTGGGGAACACACTTAGGTCCCCACTCCTGGTGAGCGTCTTTGCTTGCTGGGTCATCTCATCTCTCTCACACCTTGAAGACACAGTTCGGAAGAGACCAAGCACTGTACCTGAGGGCCCGGACAGAATGCAGACATCCGGAACTAGAAGCCCTCCCTTCCCTCAGTCCCCCTTTCTTCATTCCGTGTATCCTAGAGTTACATATGAATTTTACTTTTTTATTTCCTTTAATGGTGTCTTCATGACACCACCGCACAAAAACGGCATGACATGAAGAGGCATTTGGTAGAGTTTAAGATCCCAGTTGGTTTGAAGCAATTTTCTTTGAAGACATCTATCTCCTCTACTACTCCTGGACTCAAAAAAGTTCTTACGCCTCTAACAATAACAGCACACACATATTCAGGCCTTTTTACATCTCTTTATTAGAAATAAATGGTATTTAGTCAGACAATAATAGCTCTATCATCAGCTAACTTTTCAGTGACATAGTTTTCTGTGGCAGACTGGTGACCCAGAGGTCTAACTCACAAAGGAGGTAAAGAGTATGTTTCCGATACCATCCAAGAGACAAAACACAGCGAATTAGGCTCATACCACCCATGAGAAGAAACAGCAAATTAGGGTCAAGTCTGTAGAGAAGGCAAGGGGAGGTGGGCCATGGGAGCTGGTGGAAGTGAGCCTACCACCAGGCTTTGAGGCCTGGCCATAAAGCACTATCCCCCAACAAGTGGGCCCAAGAATACGCTGTGGGCCGATGTGGCTCAGTGGTAGGGCATTTCCAAAGCAGTTCTCAGGTGTCCTGTCCATAGGGGAGGTTCTCTTGTGAGCCACCTGAAGACTGAACCCAAGCAAAGAGGAAGGCAGTTGTTGGTCTTTATGCATAGTTGAAGTGACCATTCTGAATTTTGCTATTTTATTATTGTTGTTGATTTTCAATCGCTTACTCCTTGCTCAGCTGACTCAAGTCTGACAGGGCTGGCTAAGCACTTCCTAAGTGGGTAGCATTCTTTCAGAAACCTTTCCCTGTTCCACTGCAAACCTCTACCAGTGTTTGAATGAGACACTCTCAGGTTGAGAGAGAGAGAGAGAGAGAGAGAGAGAGAGGGGACAATGGTGAGAGCCACTCTGAAAGCAGCTGCAGGCTGGGAGGTGGCTGAAGGAGTTGGGATTTTCCTTAGCAAGCTAATATCTTTTAGACAAGAACACCTCTTTATATCTCTCTGCAAGATGCTTCTGTCAGTGCAAGTCTTCTCCCCAATGGAAAACCACACCGGCACATCTTAGTTCTTTCTTCACTGACCCTCACTAACTCAATGTGGAGAATGGTCCCCGAAGGAAAAGTGAGAAGTGACGCACGCCATCATGTCTGTGGGGACTTTACTTGAGCATGCAAGCCAGAGTCCACAGAGTTGGAAAAGAGGCATTGTTACTGTTTGCCCACCTGAAGTCAAACCACTCTTGGATGCAGGACTGAGGGGCCAGTTTAGTGACTTGGCCCTGAGTGGTGTCATGAAACTTGTCAGTGAAACTCAGGAGTCAGAGGGAAAAAACGCTGGAGATGAAACTCAAGAATCGACTAAGACTGTGCCTCGGAGGACCTTCTGCGGGTCTGTAGCTGTTTAAGGTATTTGCTCACCAAACATTCCCTCCTGCCAGTGTGTGGGGGGGGGGGTCCTAGCCTGAAGCTCCACAGATCTCCGATCTCCACACTGAGTTTCCATCCCTGTCTCTTGTGCGCACACGTGTGTGTGTGTGTGTGTGTGTGTGTGTGTGTGTGGAGGGGGCTGTGATCTTGAGCACAGCAGTCAGGTCTGGGAACTCCTGTCCTGTTTACTGGCCTCAGGGGAGAGGGCTTCACACCCCCCCTTACCTAAGCTATATCACTCCTTGGGCTAAGGTGGATGGCAACTGATTTTAGCAATAGTGCTAACCCCCTGTGGGATAGACTCTCACTGCTTACAAAGGTTCCAGGCAGTGCAAACATCGAGACCCCAAAGTCCACAATAAGCCTGGAGAATACTCCCAAACCTCAGGGTAGTTGAAGGAGCACATTAGAGATGTGTTTCATTTTTAAAAAATGTGTTTTATATGTATACTTATAAGTGTAGCTGTGTGCGTATGTTCTCTGTGCACGTGTCCGTGTTCTCTGACATCAGCTGTCCTCCTTGGACGACTATCCACCTTTATTTTATGAGACAGAGTCTCTCACTGGAACCGAGGCTCACTTATTCCATGAGACTATTGCATAGTCTTTCTCCGGGTTTGGGGGTGGGGCAGGAGGGGCTATGGTCAACACACTCAGCTTTGAAGTAGGGTGTGCTACGGTTCAGGCCACCAGATCTCACGTTTGCACAGCAGGCTGACTGAAGCATCTCCCCAGTCTTGAATTTTTAATCTCATCACTGGTCTCTGGCTTGCCTTAATGCAATTTTATAACACACTTTCCTCAAGGTATAACTTAACTTTATGAAGAACATTTGACATCTGCCTTTATGGTGGGGTCACCCTACCAAAGTGCTCAGCCGACACAGACATGTAATCTGTCTGCGATTAAGCCGAATACATTATTTCCTTCTTTCTTCGAGGGTTCACTGCCTGGCTGACCATTCCCACTGTGGAACACAGGTGCAAGGGCAGGCTCTTCCTGAGTGGGCTGTCAGGGCTTTAACCAAACTTTATTTGTAATACATGCATGACTTGTCTTGAGAAGTGGGCATAAAAGGGAGAAAAATCAAAGTAAACTGAAAAAGAAAGAAAATGAAAAGAAAAGAAAAAATAATAAAAAGGAAAAGAAAATACTGTGAAGGCGCTTTTTCCATAGGAAAAAAATATTTTATTTTTTTAAGAACAAATTCAGTTTGAAAGAGACGTGGAATGTGGCTGCTCGGATCTCGTCTTCTGGGGCTAACTGTCATGTGAAAGTAAAAGCAGGTTTGGAACCTATGACAGGCTAGTAAAATAAAACAAAGAAAAAAATATTTATAACTCAAGCATAATACTGTGTTACTTACAAATTGGACAATGAAATTAAATAAATATTCATGGTACATAATTACGGCACAAATATGCAGCAATTTGGCAACCTTTTATACCATTTTTTTTTCCTCATTACAGTGCAAAGGGGGAATGACACTGCCGTTAAACAAGCTGTAGCTAAATACATTGCAAAATTCAGATTTTATACAAAACATCTCGCTTAGACTTTATAAAAAACCAACATTGCTCTATGTACACAATCTGGGTAAGAAAAGCCATTTCTGTCTTGTTTTCATGTGTATTTTTTATTAAAAAGGTGAGTAAGGCTACTGTAACACCCCGAATCCATAGACGGTAAGATCTGACCTACCTATTTACAGCATCTTCTTACACAGGATGGTGCAAGCTCCCAAGTCAGGTGACCGGGATGGGAATACAAGCAAGGCATTTACAGTAACTTTTCCAAAGCTGAACCAACTCCAAATAAGGGGACAGTTGGTAGATTGTCATCTTCTGCACCAGACACAAAACAGACGCACAGGGTAACTCTTCATCAATTCATCTGATTTTTCACAGTTTAGCATAGGACCAAAAAAAAAAAATGTAGCCAACTGATGACACAGACATTTGATTTCATTAAAATCAGACGGCTTCCCATGTCTCCCCTCCTCATCCCTCTCCCTCCCCGTTCCTACGACTTTTGATGGCTTACCAGAAAATCTTGCGAGAATGCACAGGAGAGGCTGGGGTGACGGAAAGAATTACATATGTACTGTGGCTGATCGCCATGGCAACCCCCCACAGAAATATGATATAGATATATATAATATATACTGGAGATATATATTATACATATATGTACACACGTGTACCACACACCCACTCACACATACACATACGTTGAACCAACATCATTTTCAGGTTTGGGAAGCAGGGAATGATTTCTGTGACAACTTATTGTTACAGGTACTCACTGGAGGTCTGAGAACCTTCAAATGCTGTCGTTACAATTTTTTTTTTCTCCTCCCAATTCAGAAAGCAAAATGTTACCATAGTAACAGGACTCTGTTAAAGATGTCTATTTTGCATAGCACATAAAAAAAAAAAAAGTAGGCTTCTTGCTTCCTGTTTATTCTTCTGGAAGGGCAGGGATAGGAACAGGAGAGGAGGGACCCACAGCTAAACTTTCAACTGTAACTCCCTCAGTGTGACCTGCTGGATTCCAGAGAACACTTCAGCCCATAGGGCAAGGGAAAACCCAACACAGACAGTGAAGGCCAGCCCTCCTTGTCTAACACAGGGCACAGTGCACCGATTTCCTGGCGTTTGGGGGGGCTGGCCTTCCTCGTCTACAGTTCCGTGAGATTTCTGCGGGACTTTGTTATTTTCGTCTTCTGTTCTCGTTACTGATAACTTTTTGGGGCGACACAGCTTCTCTCAGAAGTAGCTATCCAGTCGTTAACTCTGTAAAGCACTAAGGGCTGGGATCGCTTTCATCACCACGGCTAACGAAATCCCACATCTCCTGGTGTGTATTGTGTGTAATCTTAAAATATATATTAGTAAAAAAAATCTTTCATTTTATATCCCTTGTGTTCTATACACCTAATATAAATATGTCCTATCTCCCTCCTTCCCCTCGACATCATAACTTACTTCCATCTTAAGGACTCTTAGACGTGGGCCATGTGTGCTTTGCTTTGACAACGGAGCCCGGGTACAGCCTCACAGCCCGGACAGCACGGCCGGCCATAAACCAAAAACCAAAGTGTAAGGCTCAATCGGGGAGGGGGAGGGGCACTTATGGGGGCTGGGGAGGGGGATCTGACCTACCTTTCCTAATGAGAATTCCCCAATAACCTCAGTGGTGATGGACTTACAGCCTGTTTGACCTTTGGCTTTTCAACTTGTAGGTCAGACTTGGCTCTCTGCTAATCTCCTAAATGCTTTCCCTGTGTTTAATAAAATGGGGTAATATAGCAGCTGAGTCTGCTTAGACCATCTCCCAAAGCAGACGGACTCTCCCGCAGCTCCAGGGCTGCGCTTTAGTTTATTTTCTTATTGCCAGTACCTCAACAGTCCTGCCCCAGGACTTCGCCAGAGGCCTGTCCTCTCCCTCTGTGCTCTGGCTGGTCCTATCACAACAAATGACCCCTCTGGTTCCACAGTGGAAGAGGGATTTTTGATTCCCTGCTGCCTAGCCATGTGACGGTGAGTTGGGCACCACTGACCACAGTCTGTGGTCTCCCACCTGCCTCTTTCGGTAAAACCAAAGCACCTTCTATCATTTCCTTCTGGCTTCCCCACTATGCTCCAGGGGCAGCAGCCTTGACCTGCAGTGGCTGGAAGCCGGTGGAAGCCGGCACCCTTCCCACCGTCTCCACACCTCCCAGCCTTCCCGGCTGACCCAGACTCCAGGAAAGCAGGACTCTGTACCTAATACCCATCTAATTTGATCTTGGTGTAAAGGGTGGAGCCGGGACTCTGCGGTGAGGGTCCCTTAATGATGCAGAATGTGGTGAGGGGTCTGGGGAGGTGTCGGAGCCCTGGCAACAGAAGGAGTGAGTAAGGACTAAACGCTAGAGATCTTTTTGAAAACCTTACTGAGCCCGAGGTCCGAGTGACAAGTCCAGCGTGCACGGCAGGAAACATGGAGGCAGGGGCCGGCCTGGTGCACGGCCTTCTCCTAAGATGCTGCTGCACCTTCCATAGCCTACCGTGTCCTCCCCGGGCTCTGCAGATGCCTGAGAGGCTGGGTGCATGGCTTGGAGGTCCGCGAGGGAACGCGGTAGTCCAAGTGGGAATCTCCTAGCAGTCTTCCAGCTTCCGGGGAGGGTCTGTGGTTCCCCAAGGCCGAAAAGCTACAGACTACAAAACTGTCCAGCTCCAGGCTCTTCCAGGAGGCACCCCGCCCCCACAGCCAGGCTCAGGCAGTCCCTGCGCCCACATCAAGGCGCGAGTTCCCTTGGGAGGCGCAGGTCCCAGGCCTCAGACCTTGTAGTAAATGTTGGCAGGACTCTGTGGGGGCATCTCCTGCACGATGTACACTGGGTGCCCATAGTCCCCGCTGACCTTCTCGTAGTGCGGGCAGAAGACGCTGTCTGCAGTCCTTAGCGGTATGATAACGTCACTGGGTTCCGAGCCGTTATTGTTGCCACCTCGCTTGGGTGTGGCCAGTGTGCTGAGTGACAGCGTGGTCGTGTGCTGTGGAGAGTGTTTGCGGTGCCTCCTGCGGTACTTGAGCAGTAGTACTACCAAGGTGATGATGATGACGATGAAGATGATGCACCCTGATGCGATCCCTGCGAATAAGGCCACTTCGGAACCCAGGAGATTGTTCCCGGAATGCCCCGCGCTGTTGCCGTCAGTGCTGGAACCTGCACAAATGTAAGAAGAAGAGCCCGTTACTGTGGTCCTGGGACTGCGCTGTGGCTTGCAGGACCCTCAAAATGCAACGATTAAACATGGCCAACGGTCAACTCACAGGGAGAACTGACAGAGATCAACAGACGAGGTGAAGGAGCTCAAAAGGTCCAACACTCACTCACACACTATCCCCAGTAGCTTCCTTGTCTGTGTCTCCTGCAGCAGAAGGGCCGGACAGCCAGCCACGGGCTTCCATAGCCTCAGCACTTCATGGTGCACCGGACCCAGCAGAAAGAAAGGTGCCTGCTGCCGCCACGGCAGAGCACGGTGCATCCTTGCCCCGGCCTGGTCTTCCCTCACTCTAGAAGCCGTGTGTCATGTGCATCTTAAAACGCCTGCCTTCCGCAGACAGCCCTGCCTTCCGCAGACAGCCCTGCCTACTAGCAGATATGTGCCAGAAAGGAAGGAGTGATGGGGCCTGGGAAGGGGTTCAATTCGAAACTTGGTTGTATTATTTCATTTACACTTAAAATATATTTGGAAGGCAGCAGACGCTCTGGCACCGAACAGGCTGCTAACCCAAATGTTAGCACTAAAGAATTGCCTGGCACCGTTATCCTATCCATTTATCAATTTGTCACAAGGATTTGACACATCTTGTCATTGAAAGTTAGAAGGAAAAAAAAAAAAAAAACAAAACTTCCTTGAGTCTTGGAAAGAGGCATAATATTATGGTAGATCTAAATTCATGCCACCTCTGAAACCAGGACAAAGATCCTTACTACAAAGGTGCTGATGTGTGTCCACATTTTGTGAAATGGCACAGCACAATGAGCCACTACTGTTGAGAAAATGAGCCCATTTTAGAGGGCATGCTTCGGTCAGTGGGCCCTGTGATATTTTATTTTACAGAGAATGTGAAAAGCATTAAGGACAGCCACCTGGAAAGTACGCCATTAGGCAACGTTTTCTAAGACTCAGAAAATGATCGGCGAGGCTCTTTGTGGATTAGATGCAATTAGACAGGGATTAGGGCAAGAATTATATACACATTAGCATCAGCTTTGGGATGGCGTCAACGCTGAGCAGGATACGGCCTCAGCCAATGAGGACCCATCTGGCGGAACATTGCTGGTGACTGGCACTTCTGGTGAGCGCCGTTACTACGACAGTAAGACTTTGATGGGAATGAGTTAGTTGGTTTTAGTGGCAGAGTTAATACTGACTCGGTCTGAGTGAAGTTCCCAGGCATCTGTGCCCACTAGTGAATCCCACTGGTTTGGGAGGATGGCGAGGCTTCTCTGCCTCTTGGGGTTCTACAAAAACACAGCCCACAGATACACATCCACACCACCCTGCTGTACCTGGGTTTGGTTTCACAAAGGGACTTGTGGTTGAACTTCTCCCGTTGGTACCAGCTTCTAGCTCTGGACGTCTTGTTGGATCGTTTCTCCTGGTTGATCCAGCAGAGCTTGCATCTACATGAAGAGTAAGCGATTAATCATGGCACCTACATCTGACAATAGCAAGCTGCAGGAGCTGCACAGATATCTCAAGAGGCACGAATAGCAATGAACATAAGACTCTTTATGCAAAGCACTGTGAAATACAAGAATATAACCTTCCTTTTTAATCAGAACGGTTATCCTAGCTATTTCGGAGGCTTAGATTAGGAGGCCATCTGTGGAAACTATAGGGATTCTTGCATTTGGCAGTCGAAGTACTGCAGATGACATTTCAATTTAACTGAGCAAGTTGATTGACTACCATACCGGTCTCTAATTAGAAGAATAATTCTTTCTTTCTGCACAATAGGTTATTCTACATGAAAACGCGGCTCTTGGGCTGTCCAGATTTGAAAATAAAACAAAGCTGCAGAGCCAGGGTTTACATACTGGACACTTTGATTTCCCAATCAAAGAGGCATTCTGCATTGTGAAAGAGAAATACATATATCTGTGGCAACATCTGTCTCGCTGACCTGAACTTTTGGAGAGATCTCCAGTAAGAAAAACTGAGCATATCGCCTTGGGGGAGGTGGGGGCACTCTGCCAGTGGCTCAAAGTGCAGAGAAGGGGCTGCCTTCAAAACTAAAAAGAGGGGCGACGGTGGCGCTCACCGTCACCCCGGGTGCCACGCTAGCTGGGGGCTACACCCGGTCACAGTGGCTTTCACAAAGCAGCAGATGATCTTTTACCTTGTCCAACCTTCATGAGGATCTTCATGGCTCTTGTCTGGCACACCCCTCCCTCCTGGTTATCCAGGCCCTCCAAAGACCCATTTGATGTAGCTGATTAAAAATAAAATGGACAAAACAAAAAAATAAAGAAAAAATCAGGAAATCAATAGGCCAAGATTACATGAACATGAAATGTCTGAAAACAACTTGAAAAATAAGAATTCACTCTTTGTCACAGTTTTCTGAATGTATGGGATGCTGAAAGCCGAAAAGAAACAGAAAAATAAACAAAGAGAAATGGATCCTAGAAACATGGCCGCTACATGTAGGCTGCCTGCTCCCAAATGCGCTTAAACATGCCCTCCCGTACACGTGTACACGTATGATCTAGTATTACTCTACAGGTAAAAGGGACAGTGTCATCCAAAATACCCACAGACTCCTAGGGAGCCAAACCAGAAAGTGCTGAAGAGCGAACACAGTCCTTTCAAAACTGGGTAATCAGCTCCCAACACCTGCTTCCTCCACTCCAGACTTCCTGCTTCAAGAACAATTAACTTGATGCTCCCCTTGTCAGGCATCCAAGTCCTGTAAACACTACCAGGGGAGCCTTCTGACACCCCTTGCTCCCTTCTCCAGCCAGAAATGCGCTGAAGCAGCATACAGGACTCGGGTCTTCGGAGCCCGCCTTCACATCACCATGGAAGCCCCTGCAAGCTTGCGTTTTTATCAACCCCCGCATCAGCCGCTCCAGCCAAGTTTCCTGCAGGGGAAAACTCCAGCAGGACAGATTTCAGCACACCCCTTTCCCTGTCTGGGCCTTGTGACAACTTCGATACAACACAGGTGGGGGCAACCAACCACCTTGCCCCACGCTGGCCAAGTGGATCCCCTTTCCATAACATCCATTCTACCAATGTCTTCCTGCTACATTGTATCTACACACCCTGCTGTTTGTCCTTAGGCCAGTGATTTCTCTAAATGGCTTCGTAACTCAAGCTGCAAAGAGATGGGCTGTCAGGCTCCCTAATGAGGAGCAGGCTTTCAATTACAGTTCAAGACTGAGTGGGAGGAGAGGCTGGAACTTGCTGGACACTGCTTCCCCTTGAGTTCAAGGGGCAAGGAACAGAAGTGTTTCATATACATTCATGCCTGGAACTTCAATCACCTTCCACTTGGACTATCAAAGTCCTGTCCACCAGTGCTACACTCGGAAGAGAAGGGAAAAGGGGCAGGTGTTCTGGCGACTTCTTTCAACCTGGTTGTTTTGTTTTCCAAGCATGCCATCCCCAAACAGCTCCAAACGCTTTCAGAGTGGGTAGAAGTTTCTAACTGAGGAACTAGGCAGGAATTTGCTTCTGCGCGCTGGGTTACCAACTTCCTATCTCACTGTTCTCCTAAAAACAAAGGCGCCTCTTGTGCATATAAATATCTCGCCCCTTATCTGAGACTGTCTCATAACTGTAACTCTTTCCTTGGCTGTTGCTGATGCTTTCAGTTTTCCTGGGAAAACAGGTAAGAGTTGCCATAATAATTTTGTTGGGGGTGTTGCAGTAGGTTAAACAGTATCCACTCACAGACTGGAGAAAATGCTCGGCAGATAACTCAGAAGAACTGTCTAGAGATACTGTGTTTCTGAGAATCTAAAAAAGGGCCTCTGCTGCTTTTGTTACCATTTTGTCCGGGCTTCCTTCCCCTTCTGCAATAAAAGTAGCTCAGTCTCAGAGCCTGTCTCCTAAGGCTTCTCACAGCATGGGGTCCTCTGAGAACTATTTCTGGAGGGTCCAGGGCACTGCTGAATCTTCAGTTATTGCTTAGAGTTTTCTTCCTTCATTTCTCAGGAATCAGGATATGTCCCCACACAGAAAAAAGTAGAAAGGTGACCTGTTTCAAGGAACCACTGGTCAAACGTCTAGCTTCCTGAACTCGAGGAGAATACTAAGTTTAGACTCAGGAACTCATAAAGCACTTTGTGCTAAAGTGCATCCTATTGAAAGCTAGTAAACAACTTTTCTTTTCTTGCTAAAAGTTTGAACCCTCATCTGACAAAGGACAATGATAACTGAAAGCTGAGCAAGGGGTGGGGAAGACTACAGATCTCTTTGGTGTAATCTCAGAGGGAAAAATCAGATTCAAACTAAAAAGAATACCAAAGGGAAGGCAGGTTAGGAAGCACCACTACCTGCAAGCCCCAGTATCTGCAGGGCCCTGCTGAATTCCACCACGCAGCAGGCATGGGAGGGGAACACACACACACACACACACACACACACACACACACAAAAGCACATACACATACAAATTTTAATTTGTAGGCCAGTGCTGCTTCTAAGCCAGAATGTTTGTGTTGAGCTCCCCAGGTTTGCCCCAGAGGATGTTCAAACCACCCCCCAGATGTAAAGATCGCTAAAGGAATTCAAATTAAATTTCAGTCTGTGTTTTAGCACCCAGAGACCAACTGTGGGAGGGAGACAGGGCTGTGTAAAATAGAAACCACTTCACAGCTTTAAAATCTGTCTCCCTCTTGACTGACCAAAGAAAGAAAGGAAGGAAAGAAGGAGGAGGGAGGGAGGAAAGAGAGAAAGGAGAGAGAGAGGAGAGAGAAAGGAGAGAGAGAGAAGAAAGAACCAGTGAGAGGAGGCAGAGAGGGGGAGGGAGAAGGGAGAGGGGGAAAGGAAGAAGGAGATGAAGGGAGGGAGGGGGAGAGAGAAGAAGGAAGGAAGGAAGGGATAGAAGGAAAGAAAGAAAGAAAGAAAGAAAGAAAGAAAGAAAGAAAGAAAGAAAGAAAGAAAGAAAGAGGCAAGGAGGGAGGAGGAGTGCTGTATTATTGTATCAGTTTGGTGGGAAGAGTAGAAAAGTCTGGGGCAAGCACAGTATTCTGGACAATGACAGTTTTTCAAAAGTCAGTGGAAGAACCTGGGAAGAACTTATTTCTACCAGTTGTTTGTTAGAAATGGCACATTGTATGATACTGTTGCAAGGGCCACTGTGAAAGGTGATGGCCACAAGGAAGGGTGGATTAGGAAACTTGTAGGGTACAAACATGTGTTTGAACATGTCAGATCTCTTCCTGTGCTACATGTGGGGGGCACCATCCAGGGCCTGGGGCTGGGGTCCCTGACACATTGGGCTGGGTGATTGGGGGGAGAGAAAGCATGTCGCTTCCTGATACTCTGAGAGGGGAGCAAGCCGTTTCATGCACGGTGGCATGTGACTGTCTGCCCCCACCGTAGCCTGTATCCCTGTAAACTGCAAGCCAAGAGCAAGCCTTCCTCCTCTGAGCAGCCTTTGCCACAGCAACGGAACTAGATTCGGCTAGGAACAAGGTGTCATGGAAAAACCCATTTTCAGATGTCTGCGCCAACAGAAACTTCAGAAGGTTATATAATCTTTAGGAGTGTAACATGGTAGAGAGAAGCCTTATGAGATACGAGCCATAGATCTAATGTAAATTCGATTTTCTACATAGGCAGAGTAATTCTTACTCCAGAGGACCTGCCCCGGCTGGAAGAATGGCCCCATGTTCTGTCCTGACTGCACCTCCTCCTCCCTGGCCACAGACTACTGAAATACACCAAAGGTTAGTATTCTGATAGTCCCCCATCAACCTAGGACCTAGAAGCTTCAGAAAGCTCAGCACTGATTTTGAAACATAACAAGAAAATTGCTAATATGTAGGAGTAAAGACTATTTCCATTTCATTAGGTAGTTTTGCAACTGTATCATTCATGTGAATGCCCCAGGGAATTTTTAACTTAAAGAATAAAAATAAATGTTACCTTACTATGCTTTGCTTCCCTCTGTATCAACCCCACCAGCATGACCTAATGTGGCCACAATCATTGGGTAAGACTGCATCCAGTCACAGAGAGACAGGAAATATAACCTAGGCTTCTATGTAATGTCCAGACATTTCTCTCCCTTGGCCTCATTGCGGGTGAAATATACTTTATAAAATTAAAACGTACTTGAAGTTTCTCTATCCATTTGGGAGGTAGGCTTAATAAAGACATTTTACAGATGCCTTTTTACGACTGGTTTTTAAAAGCTTTTGCACCTTGGGTCTAACTCAGAGGGCACAGACAACACCAACCACTACACTGCCCTGTCTTCTCCACAGTCACCCTGACTAGGTGTGGCGTCCATGTCTGCAATCCTAGTGCTGGGAAGACTAAGATGTGAGGGTCGAGGGTTTGAGGTCAGTGCGGGCAAGGCAGGCAGACTCTCTCTTAAAACAAAAGCAGAGTTTGAGATGCCCGTGTTTCCACCTATCTGCAGCTCCTACTGGGCGGTGATCCTGGTAGATGAACACAAACAGAGCTACAGAGGTGGTGGCTGGGAAAATAGACGCCATAGACAGAATAGTCCTGACAGAGAGAGGAACGCCACATGCTCTGCTCCCTCCCAGAAGGCCAAGCTGCTGCGGCTGCAGCTGGATGGAGCCCAGTGCGTAAGAGTGGGCTCATCAGATGGAGGCCTTGTTTGCACAGAGGCTGGCAAGGGAGGAGCCAAACATTCTGCAGCTCAGTACCATCCCGCAAAGGCCACAGCTTAGGGTCCTATGGCAGGATGGTGTCCGAATGCCTAGTCACACCACCGAGGATGGGTCAAACTATTTCAAGTGGCTTAGGAGGGCCATGACATCTGAAAGCAAACATAATAATTAACGAGAGGGAGTTCACGATAAGTGTATGGGGTCAGGAAAACCACAGCCGCTCTGGCCTTACACGGGGCTGACCTTGATGGCACACCTCTGATCAGCAAACAGCCAGCATTCTCTGAGAATTCCCTGCCACCACCAAATCTATCCACGCTGTGCTCGCCCAGCCTGCATCACACACTGGCCACGCCAACCCTGCTCTCTTGGATGAGATTTCCTATACACCCTTCCACCGAGCTCAGCACAGGCGTCTGAGGAACCAGCAGCAGGCTAACTGGCAAACTCAAGAAGCATCATCCAGAAAGACACGACGTTAAAGTCATCCCAATACCGAGAACCAGGCTGCTGTGTCCTCCCACGTGCGCTGCACCCCTGAGCATCAACAAAATAAAAAGTGATGTATGCCAGTTGAGGATGCTGATCAAGGTGAAGTTATTTAATGTCAACATCC